ATCAACGACGGACAGCAAACCAATTAAGCTTGCATACCTTTGCACCATCGCCTTTCCCCAATATCCTAGGAAATAGGCCGTACGCTTGCTGTATCGTCATCAGAGCCTGCGAAGCATAAAAAATGGACGACTCGTCGCCATCCTTGCAGAACGTCAGTCTGAGGGAATCAGTCGACCAGGTCGAGAGGGAGACGCACCAAGTAAATCTCTCTCCACACACGGTCCAGCTCCAGGCTGATCAAGTCATCCTCGAGTGGGATGAATTCCAGTTTGTATGAACTAATGTTGACTTCGCCGAGAACGCCTTCCTCTTCGAGAATACGGTCGCAGAGAACAGTTCGACGAGGAACAAGGACAATGTTGTATGAGTGAGAGGTGGAAGAAGCGTTTGATTGCTTTATTTGATCTAGTAGGTTTATTCAGGAGTCGAAGAACGGCTACGCAAGTTCCACTACCTGCTATCATCTTCATCCATTTAATTTCGGGGCGACACAGGTACACGACATTTGCAGTGGAGGCGTTGAGAGGCCCTGGCTCTAGCCAGAACATTTTATCAACTCCATGATGCTGTATGATAAATCTTCATGTGACATGGAAATATAGCAAGTGGCAAGATAATAGTGTTGACCTTGAGAAGTGACACCTCCGTGACGAGGCTGAGGGGCCCAGCAAGCGAGGGATCGAGTGCGAGTGTTTTCGCACCATTCACCTAGCGAGCAGCTATCAGCAGAAATCTAGATGATAAATGTAAGAAACAGGACCTCACAGCATTCAGAGCGTCAACCAGGGCTCGCTGCGCAAGCGTCTTCAGCATACTGAGGTCCAAGATGCCTTGACCCAGTGCCTCATTTTCCAGCTTAGACTTTGTCCCGGCTTCTGGATGCTCATGGGAGTGAGTGGCAGTGGCAGGTGTAGCCATCAAAACTCTGGACAAGCGCTGAATGGTTTGACGGCGCTTAGATGGCCGATAGACGGGAGGTGCCGATCAAATCACGCCGCATCCAGGCACATTTTGTGTCATTCCCCCATAAGCGGGTCCAGCTAGGCAGGACTCCAGCCTCTATGACTTCGTAATATTAGGTAGATGTCCAGGCGACATCAAAAGTAGATCGCCGCGCCCGTTGGTCAGCGGACCGATCCTATGGGTGATACTGCTTGGATTTGAGTTGCAGAAACCATCCAATCCCGTCGCGTTATGCTGGGGTGTGCCTAGGTCTCAGGGTTGCCTTAAAAGAGTTTCACTTCTTCGCACAGTTGGGGCAGTTTCCAAGTACTCGGTTCAAATTAGTCACCCGTAATACTCTTCGCAGTCTTCGCTCCGAGTCCCTGGGCACGGATCTTGATAGTTGCGCTGGATTCAACCGGCAACCTTGAAGTTGCCATCTGTGCATGCAGTTGCGGCATTCCAAACCATTTTCTAGACCGGAAGCATTGACCAACCCCCATGTATCCCCGCAATCGTTGATCCTGCTCCGGTGAGTCTCACCCCGAGAAGCGCACGTGTTCCCCCGCAGTATCTCGACATGTCCCCAGGGGTACAGACCTAACCCCTACCCTTTACATCTGTTATTAAGGCATAGAGTTGGGGCCGGACCTTCAGCTAATAAACTGCACCGGATTCTCCTTCTGTGGTCACGCAATCGTACGTGAAAAAAGGGAGAGGTAGACTTGGGCGGAATTCTTCTGCTTCTTTCTCCACGTTGAGGTGATCACCCACGGTTCCCACCCCCTTTGTATCTGCTAACACACCTCCAACGTGATTCACAAGCTCCGGTGTCAGCGGTAAGCTCATTGGTCGATCTGCTTTGAAATATGCCTCAAGGCATGGCCGTTGATTCAGAATTAGGATTTCTTGAACCCAGAATTTCCATTACAAATTTGCCAAATAGTTTTCCCACTTCCATTCGGAGGGTCCCATTTTGTTCATGCAAAGGCGAATGAATACAAACCCTCCACGAGCGCAACTTCTTCTGATTGAATCGGCTCAAACGATTCTCTCAAGGGACTGTGTACGTTTAGCTCCGTCCTGAGCCCTTTACGAGACTAGGGGTTCATAAAGCACGATTGCCTATCGTCCCGAACAGTAAATCAAGATTCACGGTTCGGTGAGGGAGTGCCGATTGCCGACTGTACCGGAAATGGTCAAGGATGTGGAATGGTCGTTCTTATTCGAAACGGTGGGATGCGATCCCTTCCTCATGAGGCCTCCCAAGCTGACGTATTCATCGCATTTTGTTTTCACTACAGAATTTGCGCCAATGAGTTGTTCGCATGCCGTGGGATGTTAACTTTTCTCCTCTTAAGCGTGACAAACAATCACTTTCCGTGCTGACCTTTGTGCAATTTTATGTTACACCGGGGTGCGCCGATAAGGTCATTGCTGCGGCAGTTGTACTGATGGTGATATATAGGAAGTTTGTAAAGAAAATGGCATTGTGAGGAATCCACGCGTGAGCTGGGATCATGCGTTCGGTTGTGGTGGCGTATGGTGCACGTTGTAAAGCGTTCTCCCATACAATGCATTCTTTCCATTCCGGTTCGATGATTGTGTGCTGCTGCGGTCCGAGACACAACAACGCAGACCGTTATATGAAATCTTGTTCGCATTCAACGTTGATAGTGATTGATTATCTTAAATACGCATGCGCCAACTGAGGCAGAAATTCGGGTCAGTACAGAGAGTCGCGGATCCGTTGTGAGGCACGTAGAAAGAGGGTGGCAAGGAGAACGCCCGAAATGTGCCAAATTCAGTAGGGCGGCCGCGGCACCCAAGGTACAATTATATGGGATTGCACATACTAGTGCTGCTCTCCTAGGGAGCTTTCTAGTCCTAATATGTATATTTTAATTTCTGCCCTTCAATGAATTTTCAACTTGAACCGATTAATCGTTGCTCAACCTCTGCACTGCTGGTCATGGTACGTGAAGCCATGAGCAGTACTGTCACTCCTATGAGCGGTGCCTCCCCCAAAGGGGGAAACTGGTATCCGCATTGAGAGGCTTGACAATTTTCTTGATCTCTCAACAATTACCAATGTGTTGGACCCAAGATTCGGGACAGTTCAGTTATTGTCAATTTGCATCCGTGTTGTATGATAATAAAACCTCAACCCCTCGCTGCAACGATGCCCGTCGGAAACCCTTCGCCCCCTCCTCCAGCCGCTCTTGCGTAACTCCCCATCATGACTATCTCCTCGTTTAGAGGCTCTCACACGTCCTATTTCTCCCCAATGTCGCTCCTCAGCCTTCCCCCTGAGCTCCTCACAGAAATTTCGAGCTACATTCCAGATCGACATCCTACCCTTGGTTATGTCACAAATTCCAGCGACATTGCTGCATTTTCATCAGTGTCAAGGGGCCTTCGTGCTATTGCACGACCAGTCCTTTTCCGGAGCGTTCCGATCACGTCCAAGGTGCGTCTGGACAGGCTCAAGGCGGTTATGGCAGATGCCACCGATCCGTTGGAACTCATACGGTTCGTTTACACCCCTTTGGCAGCAAGGCCCTCACTCATTTTGGTTTTTTCAGGGAACTGATCATTGTTATGGACGTGGATTTTGTGAAAGCCTTCGAACACTTCGCCTTGTCTTACTACAATGACCCAGCCCCATCGGATCCCCTCTGTCCTTTCCTCTGCTTGATTTCTATCCTCTCGCGCACATCACGCATACATACCCTTCGCATGCGCGTCGCCCACGCCCTAGGGACTCACGCTTTTCCGAGACGCCACTCGTCAGTCCTTGACGCTGGTCTTCCGGTAGGCAGGGCTATAGCTGACGCACTTCGGCATGTTGAGCCATTTGACCTGCTTTCACTGCGCGGTCTCGAAGTCGATGGCTTCCAGGACATGGAGTGCCTCCTACGACTCGCCCCTCGTCTGGAGAGACTCAGACTTAGCATGCCCGCTGGTTTCGGCATGGGCGTCAACGAGCAGCTTGTGAGAGCGTTGACCTGTGTGCCTCAACTCAAAGAGCTTTCGTATGATCCTGTCACTTTGTCTCTCCCCCGGGGCGCCGTGCATTATGATAATGACAGTGACGTTGAATCTGAAGGAGAGGAAGATGACAAAGACTTTGAGGATGACCCCGCCAAATCCAGCTGTGACTTGCTGGTTGCTCTTGGCCGAATTCTTCCGAACCTGGAAGTACTAGAGCTTCAGCCTCGCTGGTTTGGGACTGTCACTCTCTTTTGTTCGAGTTCCCCGCTGCCTGCAAATGTTCGTGGGATTTCGTTAATTTGCCCCGCACTATGACTTACTTTCCTTCCCTTTCTAGGTTCTGATACGGGCTACCGCATACCTTCCCAACTTAAAACGCCTATCACTACCATCATCCGTATTTTCCCCCGAACAACACTCCTGCCTTCGCCTTAGGTCACTTTGGAAAGTTACGCCCTCGAAATCTCTACCAGCACTATTCAATGAAGCTCTGCTTCGTAAACGCACCGAAATCCTACAGCTCGTTCAATCAGCCGAGCTTGACACCATCAAGGAAATTGCACAGCATGCGCCAGGAATAAGATCAGTTTGTTTTCTCAGAGTTGCACAACCACATGAGATTCGGGAGCACAGCATATCCTATCTCGTGCGAACATCTTTCGCTTCGCCAGGGCGCCACACTGAGGACAAACGCCGTGGCAAACTGTCCGTTCGTGTCGAAGACATCGAAGTCGTGTCACCAAACGATCTCTATTTCCATCAGCGGCGGATCAAGCATACCTTGAGGATGCCAACGGTGGCGTTGCCTATGTTGCCAATGGGTATTCCATCACCCGATCTCAGGGCTTCTGCCATCTCCACTGACCAACACGACTGAACTCCCTGAAAATAGAATAATTCGAGAGCCAGCTGACTCCAACTCGAGACCAAAAAACTTGCTCATTCAGTCTCAATCCGCCGGAATCATCATTCTCAAGCATAGTTCGGTTTCCACGTTACCTCATTACCCATTCTTTATTGGCTATTTCATTAGACCTTCCACTTAATGCGCATGCAACACGCTCGTTTCTCTTGACTGTCGTATTTCACTATACCTTGGACCATTCCATCGTCTTTAATCGTCTTCTCCTTATACCCTTTTGTAGTATGGAAATCCATGAACACTGTATCCATTTTTACGTTTTGTATCTGCTCAGTGGTTTGCTTCATTGGAATATTAGTATTCCAGGACTTCGGATTCATTTCCCCACTTGAACAATGGCGGGGCGCGCTCCCGGTGATTCATCCCCATACATCAAGCGAGTTGGGAGGTGTCAATCTTGACGCTACGGATCACGTCGAAGCCAGGGACGCAGCGATGAAGATCTGCTTGGATTGACCACATCCGAAATAGGGCATTGAAGCGGAAGGGCGAATATTGCAACATTACGCCGGGAAGGACGCGGCCAACGATCCATCACAGACACTGACATACGTGGTGACATGCTGTGTAGGTCTTGAAGACAGGCAGCCGATCAAATCAAATCGGAATGATGCGCTGAGTCGGAAAAGGCCGGCCCGCAGCGGCCACTGGTCACCGATCGCGACACAACTGATGCTGGGAAAGAAGCTATGCAGAACGACACGAGCTTAACAAGAGTACTGAGCAATTTGTTTCATTTCAGCATACAGAGACGCGGACCGTAAACTCAGTACGCATCATCATCGCGGCGTTCAACTTTTCATCGTGAGTAGCCGGGCCCAATAATCGTTATGAGCTATATAACTCAGCGGCTACGCCCGACAACGACAAGGATTATCCCCATTAGTAGATACTACGTAGTCGAGTTCTATAGTACAGCTGGGCTATTGCTAACGCGAGGGAAAAGGGGGATATGTGATGATGAGGCGGCGGTGTTAAAGGCTGCATGTCATCATACCCTCACAATAGAGGCTAAGCCTCAAGCTACCCATTATATATGAATGGCATCGATACAGTAAGTTGGCCAGTCTGAGTTCTCCCTGTCTAGGCAACTTTACTGTGCTGAACAAAAATAAAGGTAAAGGGGACAATGTGGACATGTCTGCAGCCCCTTTCCCGTTCTCAGCTTCTGCACAGTAATGGTGTCGGATAGACCGATCATGACGGCAGCCAGTGCCCATAATGTTCGGTCCCAATCGTTCGGTCCCAACCCGTACGTATTAGGGTTGCTTTGCCATTATATTCCTCGTTCAAGTTGTTAGCCTTTACGAACTATTTGGAATATAATCGTCATCCGGTTTGGTCACCCACAACATGAGATCCCCGCGGGAGTCATGGCATCAACGTTACCTTACACTGCTAATTTGTCCTTGCCTCTTCACTCCCATGGTTATTTCGTACAAACAATCTAGAATATTCAGTTCACTGTGTGTGCTTGACGCTCGTATCGCCGCTGAGAATAATTGCCAGAACGGACAACTCACACCAACAACAGACAGTTCGTAGTTCAACACCCCAATGATGTAAATATGCAGTTACACATCGTTCCCACCTTTTCCCGTGCGCAACTGATTAGCCTTGTTGTCTTCTACATCAAGACCGCAGCCGATGATGCTGATTTATGAGGCGGCGTACAAGTGTCACTGTGGTTGACAAGATCTCACGCAATAGGGGATTTAATTTGCTATGGAATGGGCAGTGCGATAAAAACTGTATGATCCTAAAACTCATAGTAAACTAGAACAGGGGCTCTGTGGTTTTAGCACTTTTTCTCATGCCGCCATCCACTGTTGACACTCGCGCAACGTAATGAAGAGTTATTGGGGCCCGATCAAGCGCAGAATTAAAACAGGCCACGCCTTTCAAGGTCATTCACCAATGAGTGGCGTACGTTCACCATCGATCCCCACGCGGATAGGCATGAGTGGATGTACGGTGAATTTCTTTGAGGCCCAGGTTATCGTTGGTCAGGAGAATATCGACGTGGTCGTCATTTCCAAAATGGCCCCTTTCCACCACTCCTGGACGCATCCGGAACAGCCCTGTCCAACAGATGTCCTTTCAGTCTCCAAAACATGAGCCTCGAACTCCCCCTCCTCGATATTAGCCGCAATGCGACCGGCCCCTCATTCCCCTAGATGTAACAACGCCATTCGCCATAGCCCAAAATCCAAGGCCCGCGCCTCTAAGCTGTGAGTTGTCCCGTGAGATGAGCCTAAATTAACAAAAGCTTCTGGAGGGTCCAGCCAACAACGTTTTTACTGCCTTTTGGCGTTTTCACTACTTGGGAAAGTTCAGGACCCCCGTATAATGGGGCCAACCACCCAAAGCACCGACAAACGTACAGACCTTTTCGGAATCAGCACCGCAAGTTCCAGCCTAGCAACATATCATCTATGTAATAGCATCTCAGTCTTAGCACACAGCCTAACGCAACGAATCAGCATTCCCTCGGAGCTTTGTGGCGATCCATCGCTCACAGCAGTAAAGTACAGGATAAGGCAAGCCTGAATCCTATCTAAAATTTCACCGAAGAGGGAGAATGCAACCAGTTATTTGCTAACAAATTCACGAGAACGCGCCTTTTCGACTCCAAAGAACCAACGATATGACAAATGATATAGTGATTCGGTTAGGATAGAAAAAAATGATCACCTCTCTAAAATCTATGTCTATCAGTGTTTTGACAGCACGCTGTTCATTCGTCAATCCCAGCATTCTCTTGGTAAATGTACACCCCTCTTCCGGCTGCACGGGCCAGCGGGGGCTTCTCGCTTCTCGAATGCACTCCATCCAGAGGCTTTCCGCTAGGGGAAAGACACCAGTGGCTGCACCGATTCTATCCATACAACGGGTCTCCCATACCTGATTCTCAACCTCCAGAAGTTCAACGCTACGAGATCTTCCAACATTAAGTTTTAATTTCCCCATCTCACATGAAATGCAGCACTGCATACACTTGACGGAGCTCAGAACCGGAGTGGGGGTTTCCACCCAATTCAGAAGATTGCAAGCTATGGCTAACAGTTTCAATCGGGGCGCCGGTACCGCATGCTTGAAGATACGGCCGTTGAAAGGCGGCCGGAAGACCCGTCTATTCAACGGCCGCCGACATCTGATTCGAATCACAAATAAGCAGAATTTGCCAAACGGAAATCTTTCGGGTCTGCTTATACCGTGTAGCGGAGTCCTGATTCCGTTCCCACGATGGTAAGTGCGGTGGGCTCCTTTGCGTACCTGTGTTCATCTGTGAGATTAATTTCATCCAGCGTGAGTACTAATCACAGCCTACGAATCGAATGACTCATTTCGTTATAAATTCCCTTGTGACTCGTCAGCCAGGTGTCTCAGTACTCCGCTGAAGACGGAGAAACTGGAGTTAAGTCCCTCGATCATAGCGATCATAGTCCGCCGTTCCTGGGTATCGTAGGCAAACGAAAGTGCGAATGGTCTTGGCCCAAGCGCAAAGATATACAGGATCGAAATGATAGACACTTACGCCGAGCAGCAATGCCTACCAGCTCAGCTGAGCACATCCTTTGGTAGGTTGACACTTGGAGCGGTGCGCTTGGTAGTCGATTGAGTGGCTATGGAACGAATGCAGGGATTCGATTCTCACGATCCTCTTGTAGCATCTCTTTAAGAATTTGGTCTGATGGCTCGTAATCTGAGAGATGTCCGGTAAACAATGCATCGAGCTCATGCCCAACTAAATTCAAAACGAAAGTTTGAACCACGCCTAGGGATTCCTTGATGATTTCGACAGCCCCCCGGCACATGAACGGTTAAGGGTCGGCTTCGCCGCGGTGATCCGTTCGTATGCGGAGGCTGTCTCGAGCGAAAGTCTCTAAGGGTTGTATGAGAATTCCAATGAACGCGCCATAGGGGCTAGGGCCACTCACAACTTGCTGTGTCCGATCCCGGGTATCGTCCTCTTTTGGGGGCAAGCATGAGGTTCGGATCTCAGCATCAAAACGGGAAAGGTACCACCTTGTCCCCCATAACTGTATTTCATACGAAACAGTGGACCGTTCATCATGCATCAGCGTATCAGAGCGGATACTAGTACAATACGTTCAGCGTACAGGGAATTCCTTCAATGACTCGCATAGGGGCAAAAGACTCCTAGCCTTGTCACCCAACAGCCACACGCTAGAGAATATCTGACTTTCCCAAGAAATAAACATGGGTCGAACGGCTTACGATCCAACTTGCAAAAAAAAAAGCTCATCACAGGAATAAAACATAGAACCAACCATGTTCCGTGGTAATGGGAACGCCAGCATAGAAGAAACCATCCAGCACAAGAGGAATAGGGGGATATTTTTTGTTCACTTACGTTCGCTCCGGGTCTCCACTCGCCGAGCGCATTGAGCACAACCATCGCTTCTCCCTTGCTAAACAAAATGCTAGGGGGAAGTCCATTGGTCCGGAAAACCGGTAGACACAAAACACACCTGTCTTGACAGTACTGCCACCTGCGTACAGGGAGGTCGGCTAGGATTCAAGGTAATCGTTGCACAGGCATAAATGAAGTAGTGGTAAACTCACAAGCATTCTGGATCTATTTAGGTGAAGGGGTCAACGACTTGAAGGGCACATTTAAGTCCACGGCAACATCCCGTGTGTCCTTGTCAATCAGGGAAATCAAAACCCGTTTGCAATCAAAAACGGATAAGCAATGCGGACTCAGTTCCTGTCATGCTCGAGATGACCAAGTACGTTCAGACTGTCATAAAGCGGTTGATCATCAGAGGCATCTCCGATACGATGCTGAAAGGAGATGTACCGCGATAATGCTTTTAATCGTTCAGATTCAGTGACTCGTCGGTGCGGGTAAGTTATGCAAGATTGAAATTGGATCTAGGAGTTCTTCGGCCTCGGGTCCGTCCAATTGACGGAGCAGTATCGGCAGGTGAGTAGACTTTCACCTGGCGTCCTAACGCTGGGCACCCCGCAATGGGTCTCAGCAATACTCCCGTTTCGGAAAGTGAAGTCCGACGTGGTGGGGTCCACACTTCCGGGGTCTTGTATATACTGGAGGCTGGAGGACTTTGGGTATCGAAGCGCCGAGAGAGATCGAGGCGATGAGTCATTGCTTACTTGTCCGCCAGTTTGGTTTCTGGCTGATTCGCTTGGATAGGTTAATCAAGACATGGATGGTTCGTCCGCTGTACATGTAGCAAACCCATGGAAACAGACTGGTGATATTGGGGTGTTCTGATCCGGAGCTAAGAGGTGCGCCGCTTGGGATTGGAGGTATCTGGAGGGATCTTAGACGAGATGAACTGAGACACCGAGAGCGCTCGTTGTCGTCGACGATTGGAGTTGCCAGTGCCTTATTTCTGGCTATTCTTGAGGGCTGTATCAACACCAAGAGGGAAAAGCCTTGCGGAACTTTGCGGCTCTCCAAATGAATCTCATTACATCATTGAAGTTGCAAAGTGATCCGAGGAATCCAGATTGGCTCGCCGCAGATAACAAGCTGTGCAAGCAATGTTCAATGTTGACATGCAAGAATATGTCACGTAAGGACAGGCTCGGGACTTTTAGCCCGCAGCGCCATTTAGCAGAGCCACTGCTACCTGATGCCCATAATGTCCTTGAACGGCATCAAATAAAATAATCCAAGGTCATTTCACCATCGTTGTGGTGGAAGGGGGCATGAACCTGGTTGGAACATAGCGAATGTCAGGGGCACACATAGTTTTTCGTGCCCGCAAACCCAGATTTTTGGTGTTGCGTGGACTACTCAAGTGATGAACAACTTCTCCCAACACAAACACTAGTATGCAGCGGCTAGCTCCCGATAGGTATTCGCCCCTGAAGTAAGGAGACAACATAACGGATCCTATTCGGCAGCAGGAAAATCAACAGGGTGCTCCAAGTTTCGGGGAGGCTCCGTTGGAGCGACGCAAGGGGACTAGGACATGACTAACTCAAATTAGGAAGAATCAAATCGAGCTTATGCGTATCGGGTCTTGACTTCTCTGCTTCTGGGAGCCTTTCCGTGGATCCCAAGATCGACTGGTAAGCTCACGTGAAAGGAGTGATTCAGTGAGTTGTTAATGTACAGATAACATCACCCCTTTCAATGGGCTTCTGTCGTCGGTCGTGCATAGCGTTCTGAGCGGGGAATACCAAGATGATCTACTGTGAACTCTCCCACATCCCGAGTAGAAAAGCCAGTCTTTGGACTAGTAGGCGTGACGACTACGGCTCATTTACGGCCGGACCATGGAAGGGCAGGAACCCGTGCAGCCTGTCACTGGCAACAAATTTACTGAAGCTCAGGAATCGAGACCATTGAGTCTCAAAAGAAGGCCGTGGATGCCGGAAGCGAATCAACACACCCCCAACACGTTTAGGGGTCAGCGCACGGTAGAATGGAAGGCAGCCCCAACAGAGCGGGTTAAGTGTGCACGGCTCCCCTCGCACTGGGAAAATTGGCCGAAAAACTGATTGCAATGGCTACCATATAGATAATATATGGCCGTTGATCGGCTCTCGAGGGGGGTTGCGGTTCGCAAGTACAAGTGACACACAAGCGGTAACTGAGCTGCCGCAACATGTCGACGTAATGGGAGAACGTGACCACTTCGTGTCACACGGGGAGTTTGATTTGTTTGTGGCTTGCAGACAGCGCTTGTCAGTGTTCTCTAGCTCGCACACCCCCTATCTAGTCCGTGGAAGGTTACTCATGTCGCGGCGCATGAAGCCTCGTCCCTCTGATGGGGGCTTGAGGCCCGACCACATTCCAGTGCGAGATGACGATGACGACGAGCATCTACACTCATCACACTACCGAGACTCATTCGAAAACCTTCCATCACGACAAGCCCCTGCCCAGAGATTAGACGGGTCACCTCAGAACAATGCGCAATATGCTCCCGTCTACAACGACGAGGATATCTACGACGATGGTGAGGATGATGATGATGCTGATTTCTATGGGGATCCCAACACACCTCCCCGACCAAATGTGCTACTTCCACAACAACATCCCCAACAGCTCTATACGCCTGCTCCTATCAATGCCTCTCAAGCCGGCCCCCAGCAGAATCATCTCCAACGGACGCCTTCTCCGCCCCCACTCTTAGACCATTCTCACTTGCAACCCGGCGATAACGCTTCACTCCTCTCCTACGAGCGAACTTTGGCCTTATACCGTGAAAACGCGAAGAAGACTAACCTTCCTGGCACTCAGTACGAATTCGCCGTATTTATGTTAGACGCCGTGAAGAGTTTGCCCATCCCGACCCTTAAAACGGCAAATCAAATCGAGATTGAGAAAGTCACAGAGAAACGAGATGATATGATACGCGAAGCAACTTTACTCTTGAAAAGGCTCGCAGATCGTGGACATTCGGAGTCTCAGTACTTCCTAGCTGACTGCTACTCGAACGGGATTGGCACTGTGAAGGGGCGACAAGATTTTGATCGTGCATTCCCTCTATTCGTTCTTGCCGCCAAGCACGGTCATCCTGATGCTGCCTACCGGGCTGGTACGTGTTGCGAGAATGGTTGGGGGTGCCGACGCGAATCTAGCAAGGCCGTTCAATTCTACAAGAAGAGTGCGGCGGCGTTGCACCCAGGTGCAATGTATCGACTCGGAATCGCGGAACTCAATGGTGAATTAGGGTTGACCAAGAGCCCTAAGGAAGGTGTGAAGTGGTTAATGCGTTCTGCTGAGCACGCTACGGCCGAATTCCCACATGCGTTACACGAGTTAGCGCTACTTCATGAACGGGGCGTAGAGAACGTGGTATTTGTGGACTTTGAGTATTCTGTGGAGCTTCTCGCACAGGCTGCTGAGCTGGGGTATGCACCGAGTGCATACAGGCTGGGTGAGTGTTATGAATACGGCAAACTTGGTTGCCCCCAGGACCCTGCATTGTCAATCCATTACTATGTACGTCTTTGACATGTTCATACACTGTTAATCGGCGTGCGCGTACTGACGTGCACCTTTACAGAATATTGCTGCGCAGCAGAATCACCGTGATGCATGCTTCGCATTAACCGCCTGGTATCTTGTCGGCTCGCCAGGCGTCCTACCTCAATCCGACACGGAAGCTTACTTATGGGCCAAGAAGGCGGCTGAGCAAGGCCTCACTAAAGCTCAATATGCCATTGGGTACTTTACAGAGGTCTGTCTCTCACCATTGCAAAATGATTCCAACACAACCTCAAACTGCGTTGCGCGTCTTAGGTTGGTGTTGGCGTCACTCCTTCCCCACCAGAGTAAGGCTTGATTGGGATTACGGCATGATCGGCTAACTGATAACGTTTAATTTTCAGAGCCGTGCAGTGGTATAAGAAGGCTGCAGAGGCTGGCGACAAACGTGCGATACAACGGTTACGTAACTCAGGTAGTTCACAACCAGGCAGGCCTTCGGGTCGCACGGTGCCTGATGGTACGGAAGATCCTGAGGGCCGGGCATCACCTGAACCGCCTGTGAAGAACAAGGACAAAGATTGTATTATCATGTAGGACATTCAGCTCTTTTCAGGAGCAAGTTACCCTGTCATTTCTCGTGGACGTTTTTTTCTACTGTTTCTTCGCCAGAGCGATGCATAACTATTACCTAATGTATTCACCAGCACATATTGCTGCCTCTTTGATGGACCATTTTTGCATCGTGTAAACTGTAGTGAAACCGCTTCCGGATAAGACACAACAAGACAAATAAATTCGGCCAACTCCGCTATAATACAAACCATCTTCGGATAAACCCCCCGAAGGAGTACGCGCTGGAAAGTGTTTTCCGAATCAAGATTAACATTTCAATTTGCCTGCGCTCTGGTTGACCTGGTGCTGGCGTTCAACGGCGAATGTCATCACTTCAGCTATTATCATAGAGGCTGGTCAGGCCCAGGTACGGAAAAATAACACGTTCTCGATTGTAATAAAATGAATTCAACTATCAGATACATCTTCACGGGGAAACTGTTTGCCAGTTTGGCTTCGTCCTATTTCTGAACCGCCGGGATCGCGGAAGCCTCGGGACATAACATGCCGAAGCAGGTCTTCCCATGTATATATGGTGTCCTGATAGATGGGTCTCCCAAGCCCCTCCGACGCATAGTCCCATCTCACCGTGCTGCCCGCGATCTCTAGCCAGTGAACGAGAACTGGGGGAGTTCATGCCACTCTTAGGCCCGCACGATAAGCTTGTCTATCCGCCACTCCTTCCTGGCAGCCTTCCGGCACAATTTGATCTGGGGTACATGCGTAGCTTTCTTATCCGAGCTGTTTATTCCCGCCGAACGTTTCTTATTGGTTAATGTTGGTGGCGGCATTTGTGGCTTGCGCCTTCATTCCGGCTTCCGCTAGCGCGCCACCCGTGTCAGACATGCTTGAGCTCGCAGGGTAAGGAACAGTGAACATCCTCCAACGGTTTCTAGAACCCTCCGCCACTGCACGCTATGGCTAGCAGATGCCCAAAGGACGATCCACGCAATCCTGACGACTTTTGCCTTGAGACAAACTTTCCTCTCCACGCTGGCGTTCTTGTGAGCAACTTCTCGACCGCCCGGAATTTACTGTCTGATATCCCTCAAAGTTGATCTCGGTAGTTGGCCTACTGTCGTTCGTTTTGGCGGCCTCGCTCCTCGCTTGCTCACTGATGCCCTTTCGTCCGTTCTGATTCATTGAGCGATACTTCATTTGTATCCTAGCGACATGCGTACAAGAAGTAGCGCAAGTGCAGAGGCATTCATATATCAATCTTCGACGATCGAGTTGGGCTCCAGCCTGCCAGTATCGGTGTTATTTCTGTGTGCCATTTTCTTAGACACCCACCTTATTGCTAAAAGGTGTTAGCTACCAACTGACACTCACTATAGTCAAGGGGTATCGAATACTTTATCCATCAGGTGGAGCGAGGTCGCCGAGGGTTTGTACTGTACGGCCCAGGCGGTCATGAAGCAGATCGGGAATGATGGTGATCAGCTGATCTCCGGTCTCGATATCGCGCCTCTTAAAGATGTACTTGTCCTCAGCCTGGTTCACCATCGCGATTGCACTGTTAACATTCTTCCAGGTCATCTATCTGTTGAAAGCAAGGTTAGGCCAGCGAGAGATGACGGAAATAGACCGCTAAGTGTATTAACCTGATGTAAACAATGATCAATACATGGATTCGAGCTTGACCTCCAAGTTTGGGATACAAAGCGCAAAGATATTTGCAGGAGCGTCGATTTGCTTCATCGCCTTGTTCATCACTTTGATGGTGTCGATCCCTGCTTCTATTGACCATCCGTATGATGGCGATACAGGGTGAGGGTCACTTGAGCCACATCACACATTTTAGGATGTGATGTTGGATTGTTAAGAGAAGGAGTAATGGGGTATTGCAAATCGGTACACAGGGACTGCGCAAGCGCTGTGCTTAGTAGTGTTGAGGTTTAGGCTTTTAGAGAATGATCCTCGTGTCCTGACAGTCGATCCTGGCCGAGTAGCAACGATACCAAACTCAGACCAATACAAATGGTACACGGAGTTTTGAGAGAAATAGAGGTGTATTTGTAGCAGAGCAGTCTTCCAGTAAGCCAAGTATGGTACTGGAATCATTGCTAAGGGGGATCTAAGGGAAAAAGCTGCTGTCAACTCCAAATCTGTTGTCACTCTTGACTTCGAGAAGAATGAAACTGATGGGGGCGGAGGAAGGTGATGTCGCTTAGTGAACGCTCATCATCGGAAATTAAATAAGCGCGGCCGCTGGACTGCCGGACTATATTGGCAACAACCCAATCTAGTGTGCGCTTGTGCCCGTGCGTCCAACAACTACACTCGCGCACGTACTATGCAACTTGTAAAATAATGGGCTACGTAAGGAAGTAGTCCATGGCCAACATAGCGAATGTGCCCTGAGGATGGCGGAGCTCGGAAGACTGGATTGATCGACACAGCTTCAAGGTGTGCCAAAGATGCGCGAATGAGATCATGGTAGGGACGCATGCACCGCCGGCGCCGACGGGAGCTTTCGCCCCGCTAAGGAAAGAGCAGACCAGGACGTGCAAGTCACCGACAGCGACGGAGATGGACCAGCGAAGTAACTGCATCAGGCAGTTCGAGTTGGCGAATCCCAACCCTAGCCGCACTGCCACGTACAAACGCAACCGCGGGGTAACAAAATAGAGTACAACAACAACAATCGCCAACCCTGAAGTGTAAGTAGCTAGTCCTACAAAACTGCGTCCTCAAGCCTCACATCTCTCCCTTGGTCCGCTCACCCAACACACTACCCCACATGGCTAGCGAATGCTCATACCCCGATCCTGGGAATCCTGATGAATTCTGTCTTCAAAGGAACTTTCCTCTCCGCGCTGGTATTCTTGTGAGATTTCCCTTCTAGTCGGGCGCTTAGCTGCAGTCTCACATTCTTTGAAGCTCGTCTCAGAAATTGGCCTAGTGTCATTCACCCTGGCAACCTCGCTTCTCATTTACTTTCTGGTGAGACTCTAGTCCTTGCACCCGTTCCGGACATTGAGTCATTGTTTTTGCGCACCCTGTAGGTACCAGGACACAGAGTCCATCCCGAAGGCCTTGAATATGAAGTCCAGCCCATGTCAGTGTTATTTCTGTTCGCCCTCTCTTTAAACGCAATGTAAGTGTTATCTTATCCACGACGGTCACAGACACTCACCGGGTTGCCCCAGTCAAGGCACATCAAATGTCATGTCCGTCAAGTGGGCACTCGAGGGTGAAGTTACCGAAGGATCGTACTGCACGGCGCAAGCAGTGATGAGACAAATCGGCAATGACGGCGTCGGTGCGTATTTAACCTCTAAACTGACATCAAATCCCTCAAAGGCACTTGTCCCCAGCATGGTTCACCATCGCAATCGTGGTGTTGACCTACCTCCAAGTTTTTCACCCCGGTTTCATTGGGGTGCGAGGCCAGAAAATATTTATGGCAGCATCAATTGGCTTCATTTCCTTATTCATCTTTATCATGGTGTTGATTCCTGCTGCCACCCTCTATCCATATTATGGCGACACTGGGTGAGGACGACCTGCGCCTCATCACTTATATTATCTAATCTGCATTCAGATTGTGGTGTTGGATTGTCAAGAGGAAGGAAAATTCGCGATTCTGGATCGGTACGTAGGGACTCATACAAGTATCGTGCCCTCTAATATCGAAATTTGATTTTGCAGCAAGTGAAAATGCTTGGACGTGGCTTGCCGTCTCAGTGACACTAGTCGCTTATGGCATAATTGCGTACAAATGGCTGCTAGAAGCGGCTAATAACTCTTACAACCCCGTTATGAGGCGGGATGCGAAGGCTATGGGATGGTATCCTATTGGTACGTATAACCGTCCCGCACAGTCAACCCTCATACACTTTTCCTGTATTAGTTTATTTCGTTGTGGTTGCACCTCAATCCGTACTTCGTTTGCTTCAATTCCAGGCTAGCCAGACACGCCATGGATGGACGATCCTTACTTCTGCTATCTTTTCCTCGGGTGGTGCCCTCAACGTCATTTTCTGGCTCTGGACAGGTAGACGCTTCGGGTTTAGCTTGCGAGTCCAGGAGCTAGAGCGTAACCAGCCTCGTCCCGAAGACGTTGAGTTGGACCAATTAGTTACTTAGAACCTAGATATGCTCAAGTCCGTGATACGTGAACTGTATGTTCATATGATTATTTACCTAGCGTGATACATGCAGCGATCTTCATCAACATTGGGCTGCCCTGCAATAAAGCACAATTTTTGTTCGGTGTCGAGATATCCGCATGTGACAGCTGACGTTTGGTGTTACTGTTGCGGCTTCATTTTCCATTCTTGTACCCAATGCTTGTGCGTTATTCAAAGCGCCTTGCTTATAGAGCCCTCAGTTCACATACAACGAAACTGAGCGTAGTACGCTAGGTTCTAATGATTTTGACCAGAAGCGCTTGCACATGCACAGCTATCCAAAATGTGGGAGAAATGATGACCAAGACGGGGTCTGGTATAGATCAAGTGGAGGAGAACGCAAAGATGTGAAGGTAAGAACAAATAAAATAATCCGCGCAGCGACGTAAACAGGTAAAATAAGTGGTACTGTCCACTCAGTGGACAGTACCACGCCGCTTCGAGTATTGCTCGCCATAACCCACGGCGAGTGATACTCGAAGCCCCGGAAGGCAGCATTACGCCCTTCGCCCAACACTACAAAGACAGGAGCGACTGTGATATATATCGCTGAAACCCGCCATAGAATTATTTCCGTGCGCGTCGGAAAGGGAAACGACCATGCAAGACAATGGATTCCCCCAAAGATCATCCCAGTGGCTGCCACTATGAACAAGAATCCCAGCCTAGACATGGGGGATATCGGATCTGCGTCAAGGTCCATTTTGGGTGATAGTTGATCGACATTTGCTTCGGAAGTCGGAGGAACGGAATGAGACTCTGGCGTCACATCGATTGGGAGTTGAATGTTAACGGGTTTATACCACCACAACACATAGACAAAGAGACTTAATGCCGCATACGCCAGCGTCATTGTCTCGAGTTGCGATCTGTGTAAATGGCCCGCCCATCGTCCGATATGTTGAGTGATAAACCATAGTAGTTGAACGACAATGATAAATTTGGAAAACCCATCGCCTTTACTTCTGTCAAGAATTTTCTTCTTCGTTATCGCAGCATTTCTAATTATGCTGGGGTATCGCTGCAAGTCGTTCGGGCCCACCGGTCTTCCTTTCGACTCGTCGAAGAAACCACCCATGACGACAAAATATGAATGCGTCAGTGTCCATCCTTGTGACAAGTACACGTCAGCGCCTCGTCCATTTCCCAAATTCAGGACGCACCTCCAACCATCTCGCATTTTTTTGATATTCTCCAAGACATCAAGAATTGGCGCCATGCAAACGCCAGAATAGCCTCCGGTAAAACCAATGAAACCATCGTCAAGCTAACGCGCGATGCAAGCGACCAGATACCATCACCAGGCTTTGGAACATTTGGGTGCACTGCCGTCCAAATGCAAGCAAACACGGTAAGGAGACAGCTATAGACAATGCCCCACATCGTTCGGCAATTCCGGAGATCGTTGCAACCATCAGATACGAAAGAAGTCATATTGTGAGGGGGGATGGGTGCTGAATAAACTTTGTGGGCAAGAAGGACGTTGATAAGAGCGGTTGCCATCGGATCCGGTCGAGTGCAGGCACAAGCACGCCAAATACAAGTTGAGCGTAAGCTTTATACTGTGGACTGGGGTGGGTCCCGAATTACTGCGAAAAACGGAATATCGAGGAAAAGTTGTGCCTCAAATTGGCAAAAAGGACCTTGCCGTATTTACATACTCATTGAGTTCTCAATGAGGAAAACGCAGCACTTCCTGTCAACAACGTGTCAACAGAGGAGTAGGAGCCTGTTAGAGTCAGCGTTGAGGCGGATTCAGTGGTCTCAGGAGGCGTTAGAGTCATTGCATGTGTCCTTCATTCACGAGGGATGTAGAATCTGCGTGAGCGTGAGTTAGGAGTTTGTTGAATCTCGAAATGGCATACCGCTTCTAGCGAGATGGATAGGTAGCAACGAACCGATTATGAAATTGGAATGGGAGAAGGCATAGGGAATGTTGGGCCGTGCCAGACTCAAAACTATTGTCTTTCCCCAAATCCCCCCTTCGAGTTGCCTACTTACATGCAGACCAACTTTCAACTACCTGCACGCATGGGCAACCAATGAAACGAGGGGCATGACATTGTTGGTCATTGTTTGTGTTCAACTTGGGTTGTCAAGGCCAAGCAAATTTGCAAATAGCTGGCAGTGCCTCCTAATCCATAAGAAGAACGCTGGCAGCGCAACAACTTTTCCCCGATATTTCGTTTTTCGCTCGCAGTAAGTACAAGATAACTAAAATGAAAACAAACCATTCCGCAAGGCCACGTGCTGGGATGTTTGATCATTTTGCTTCCGCTCTGTGGTCGGCTCGGCAAACGCCGTCGCATTGGCAAACGCGTCGCATTTGGCGTGTCGACGTACCACAACCCTAGTACACTAACCTGAATTTACTCCATGCTGGCGTTCGACATAGCACTAAGCGACTCCACTTTCAACTATTCTGGTCACCTGCTTACGCTTCAGCTGCGATCCTACCAGCTTCTGAGTTGAGGCCCTGTGGTACGGAAAATAGCTCAACTGCGTCGAGGTTCTCGATTATACATAATAATGAATAACTGGTGGACGCCGCCTGGCGCGGCAAGTACCCGCTACTCATTCCGCGTTGGTTTGATCATTCAGCAATCTCCACATTGTTTACATTTCGCTTTTCGGAAATCCCGCTGGGAAGCTATGTGTATATACTTTTGAAGTACATTTGACTCAAAAGAAAACTATCTATTGGATTCGAAGGTTGATCAGAGACAAGTGCCCACATCCTTGGCTCGGACACACACCGTGGACACAGGCGTCCCGATCTGAAAGTGTGCGAAGTGGAACGTAATGCGCATCACTGGGGTTGCGCGCTATCCGTCATTGGTGGAGGTCATCGAACACTCATTGCGACGGGGGCTCACTTGGAGGCACACATGAACATGGGGAACCCCACTCCCCTCATGCTCAATGAATCCCAACCATGCTTTGTTCGTCTCAAAATTCTGTTTGAAGCTGTCACCCTCTATAGCTGCGGTGGGTCAGACGTCATTACGCACCGATCCCCATACTAAGACATGGGCTGAACCACGTTGTTGGTGTAATATCACGCAGTCGGGTAGAACTGGAGTACATCCACAAATCTGCATGTACGGTTGAAAGAGTGGATCAGAAGAGATGTACACAGACTCACTCAAGTTAGAGGAAGCCATAGTCTGTACAGACACGGTTGATTCGCAAAGGCAGCGTGAGGTAGATGGTCCATGGACGGTTGAGAGAGCGGATCAGAAGGGATAGACAGAGACTGACCGAAATCAGAGGAAGCCATAGTAAGAAGTCGGACGTGGTGATGCAGTGTGAGGTGGATGGTCTTTGTGGCCTGAGTTGCATTGTAGCGGAGTGAGCCGAAATTCTATTGTGGTATGGTCAGAATGGGAAAAAAGGACCCTAGGTTACAGAGGACCCTGTGCACAGAGTGGGGCCTAAATTTGCAGGGCCCGCTACGGAGTAGCGGTCCATCTTATGTAATTGTTTGCCAGTTTAGGCCGTTTGACTTCATTCTATTTCTTGATCTGCCTCGGGACGTAATATGCTGAAGCATGCAAATGTTGGCTGTCCATGCATGATAGATATGGGTCTCCCAAGTCTCATCCGACGCATAGCCCCATCTCGCCGCGCTGCCCGCTATGAAGGCGTCTCCAAGTTCAACGCGTCCGGGATTGGACGTTGACGCGATAGTGGATATAGACTTGGTTAAGAGCCCCTAAGAGAGGAGTTTGCACAGGGTGTTTGGCGCTGGAGGGACGATTCTCCAGCCACTCAAGCGCGTCATGATACGTCCGAAGAACCAAGATACTTGTCCTCCTAGCTCCACAGAGCCTGAGCCTCGTGACGTACATCCCAAATCACTGCGTCGAGGTATTCGCTCGCGAAGGTCAACCATTGTTCGTAATCATCTGCGACTATGTGCGACTCGAGGTCGCTTGCGTTGCATTCTTCGTCCTCTCTCTCTCTAGTATCAAATCGGTATCCCCTCAGAACCCGAGGCGGAATCCGACTGGGAAAGAGGTATAAGCCATCAAGCCAACACATCGCGAGTTGTCAAAGTCGCGCCTATGTGAATCTGAGATAGGACCTATACAGGGCGCAATTATGCATCTGGAATGTCCTTAAAGCGTGAGTAACGCGTGGAGAGAAGCCAGCAGAGCATGCACAAGCGCGGTTCTCACAAAGAGAGAGAGCGCGCGCGCGCGGATTTCGCGTGTGTGAACCTGGATCGGCGCAACTTCTGGACTGGATTTGAGCTTGCAAGGATGAGGAAACAGCGAACTCCTTCCAATAGTTTCTGGAATCCCTTTCCTCCTTCCCCTCCCCCAGTGCACGCTATGGCTAGCAAATGCTTGAAGGACGATCCACGCAATCCTGACGACTTCTGCTTTAAGACAAACTTTCCTCTCCGCGTTGGCATTCTTGTGGGGGGCAATTTCTTGACCGCCGGGAGTTTACTGTCTGATATCTCTCTCGGAAGTCGATCTCGTCAGTTGGCCTACTGTCATTCGTTTCGGCAGCCTCGCTCCTCATTTACTCACTGGTGAAGCACCTGCCCTTTCGTTTTCGTCTGTTCTGATCCATTGAGTGATACTTTCAATTTGTGTTCTAGCGACATGCGTACAAGAAGTATCGCACGTGTAGAGGCATTCGTATGTCCATCTTCGATGATCGAGTTGGGTTCCAGCCTGTATCGGTGCTATTTCTGTGGGCCATTTTCTTAGACATGATGTGGGTCTTGAGCTTAATCGCTGAAAGGCAGTGTTAGCTGCCCAACTGACACTACTACACTGGGTTTGCTATGATAGTCAAGGAGCATCGAATATTTTGTCCGTCAGGTGGGCTTTCTTGGGCGAGGTTGTCGAGGATGAGTACTGTACAGCCCAGGCGGTGATGAAGCAAATCGGGAATGATGGTGTCGGTATGCACTCGATCCATCTGATCTCCAGCCGTCGATATCGTGACCTCTCAAAAGGTGTACTTGTCCTTCAGCCTGGTTCACCATCGCGATTGCACTGTTGACATTCTTCCAGGCTGTCTATCAAGACTGGTTTGGGATGCAATGTGCAAAGATATTTGCAAGAGTGTCGATTCCTGCTTCTACTCACCATCCGTATTATGGTAATACAGGGGAGGATCAACGTTGTGCCACATCACATCATTTTATCTCATCCCGCCATTCTAGGATGTGGTGTTGGATTGTTAAGGGCGGGGGTAACGGGATACTGCGAATCGGTACACACAGGGACTGCGTAAGCGCTGCGCTTAGTAGTGTTGAAATTTAGGTTTTTTTTAGGAAGTGAATATGCCTGGATGTGGCTTGCCATCCTAGTCACGATGCTCACCTATGGTACGATTGTGTACAAGTGGCAACGTCAGGCGTCTCTTAACTTCGACTACCCTGATATGAAGCGAAAGGCCATTGCTATGGGATGGTACCCTGTTGGTGAGTGCGCTCACCTTGTAAAAACCCTTGCCTCAGAAGATTCATGTTCGCCGTTCCAAGTTTATTTCATTGTCGTCACACCCCAATCCATCATTCGTTTCCATCAGTTCCAGGCATCTCGCCCGATAGGACATGGTTGGACGGTTCTGTCTTCTGTCATTTTTGCCTCAGGAGGAGCCCTCAATGCCCTTCTCTGGTTCCGGACTGGTAGACGTTTCGGATTCTCTCCAGATCGCCCACAGGAAGAGGAAGAAGGTGACGACACGAACGATTGGCATCGCACAGGTGCAACTTCCCAAAGCACTCTGCTATTAAATCCTATCCATCAGCTGCCATCCCAATACCTATCCGTAACCCCTGATCCCGATAGTGACCCCTCACACTCGGTACAGATGTGCTGAATCTTGGTAGAGGCCACGGCAAACCCCACATGTCCTTTGGTTCCTCCGGTTGATTCCGAGCCAATCCAAACTCAGCGATAAGCTTTATCTTGCCACCGAGGTTGTCTAGGCCACATCTTGCGCGTAGGAATGAGGGACTGAAGCCGTGCTGATAACATGGGGCATGCGCCATTGGCTTCGATCTGTCAGATGAAATCTAGAAGGAATGGCATATTACATAATTTGATGAAACAAATTAACTGAATTCGACCCCCCGATCAGGGGGTGTTCCCATAAAATCCAGAGCCGCGAAAGCCGCCAGCTCTCAAGTCGGTCTTGTGCCCAACTGCGCCTACTTGGGGCGCCAAGCTGGCAGTTGAGCCGCTTTTAGTGGTCATGCTGTGCGATGGGGGGTGGTAAAACCAAAGCCCAAAGCATAGAAGGCAGTGAACGCCGCATCCCCGTGTCCCAAGAATAGATCCTGGCGGCCGAGTAACTGCAACGATACCAAAATTGGCCCAATAGAAATGTACATGATTGGAATCAAGGTGCACTTGCAGCAGAACAGTCTTCCAACAAGAGCTGGGTACGAAACTAGAATCATTGCTGTCGATGTTGAGGACAACGGGATCTGCGGATATACTGCGGAGAAAGCTTCTATCAAGTCCTACATGCACTCTCTTGGACTTCGACATTGATGGGAGCGGAGGAAGTGGTGTCGCTTAGTGAACGCTCCATCATCGGAAATTGAATAAGCCCGGTTCTTGGATCGCCGGGACCATATTGTCAACAACGGCGCTTATGCCCGCGCGTCCAATGATTGCACGCAGGTACATGCCATTTGTGAAATAACCGACTGCGTAAGAAAGCTAGAAGTTCATGGCCAACACAGCACGTTGTGCCCTCAGGAGGATGGATGGATGGCGGTGCCTCGCCTTTATCAGGGATTGACAGGTGGGCAACACAGCCTCAAGGGTGACCAACGGTTCTGCCAATGATGCGGCGAATGAGATTCGTAATAGGGATGTATGCACCGCTGGCGCCCGACGGGAAGCTTTCGCCCTGCTAAGGAAAGAGTAGACCAGGACGTGCGAGTTGTCGAACAGCAGATACGGAGGAGAGGTCCGGTGGAGGGTGCCTTGCTTCAATTGAAAAGAAGCCCAGATGTCCCGCATTCATTGAAAGGAGTCAATTGCGCCAGCTGGTGAGAGGGATTTGTGCCGTGGCCGCAAACGGGCAAGGATAGGGTACAAATTGGGCAGTTGGCCTATCCTAGCATTTGATATTCAATCCCTGAGAGCTGGAACGGCTATTGCACTTTATAAACTACCTTCTGCCAGCGAATCTCCTCCCTTGTTTTGCTCCTCCAGCACCCGGCACATCATGGCTACCAAATGCTCAAAGCGCGATCCTCGGAATCCTGATGAATTTTGTCTTGAGAGGAGCTTTCCTCTCCGCGCTGGTGTTCTTGTGAGATTTTTTTCACCTGGCAGTCTCGGGCGCCTAGTTATTGTCTAACATCCTTTGAAGCTCATATCAGAAATTGGCCTAGTATCATTCACCCTGGCAGCCTCACTTCTCATCTACACTCTGGTGAGACTCTTATTTAGTTCTTGCGCCCGTTCCGGACATTGAACTTTCATACTTTACTGTTACACCCTGTAGAGAAAAGCATACAAATTGAAGTACAGACGCGCCGGGGATCCCGACTCAAAACTTCAACCCATATCGGTGTTGTTTCTGTGCGCCATCTTTTTAGATGTGATGTAAGTCTTATCTCATCGATGGCAGTCACAGACCCGCACTCACCAGGTTTGCTCTAGTCAAGGTATATCAAATATCTTGTCCGTCAAGTGGGCATTCCAGGGCGAAATCACCGAAGGATCATACTGCACGGCACAAGCAGTGATGAAACAACTCGGCAACGATGGTGTCGGTGCGTAGTCGACCTCTAATCCGGTATCAAATCCTTCAACGGAACTTGTCCTTCAGCGTGGTTCACCATCGCAATCGCGGTGTTGACCTACCTCCAAGTCTTCCACAATGAGTTGTTGGGGGAGCGAGGCGCGAAGAAATTTATGGCAGTGTCGATTTTCGTAATCGCCCTCTTCCTCCTTCTGATGATATCGATTCCTGCTTCCTCACGCCATCCATATTATGGCGATACCGGGTGAGAATCACTTGTGTGCATTGTCCCACACACACATATATAGTATCTGATCCTGCATTCAGACTGTGGTGTTGGATTCTTAACGAGAGGCATAATGGCCCACTACGAATCGGTACATATGGCCCAATCCCAGTTGTCGTGCGTTCCAATACTGAACCTTGATTTTTTTTTTCAGCAAGTGAATATGCTTGGATGTGGTTTGCCGTCATAGTGGCGATAGTGGCATATGGCAGAATTGCATACAAATGGCGACGTGATGCGTCCAATAACTTTGATGACCCCGTTATGAAGCGGAATGCGATAGCTATGGGATGGTATCCTATCGGTACGTGTAATCGTCCTTGCACAGTCTGACCCTTTAGACTCATCTCTTTTTTTTTCCATATCAAAGTTTATTTCATAGTGGTTGCACCTCAATCCGTAATCCGTTTCCTCCAATTCCGGGCCTCGGGTCACCGACCAGGTCATGGTTGGACGATCCTCACTTCTGCCATCTTTTCCTCTAGTGGTGCCCTCAACGTCATTCTCTGGCTCTGGACAGGCAGGCGCTTCGGGTTCAAAGGAACTACTAGCCAGGAGGAGCCTACGTCCCCCAGAGACGTTGAGATGACCGCTTATCCAGCACCTCACGTCGGAGTGAATGCCAGTGGAGCATATCATCACACAGTTACAACTCCCACCTGAGTCCTAACCATGACCAGTAACAGCCATGAGCTCAGCGTTCGTGATCGACCCCACATCGCACGGGTGCATTGGCTCACCTGTTATGAGGTAGAGGTTAGAGGTAGATGCTGGTAGCCACTTCCTACCGGTAAATTTCGTATTTCTTGGTTACTATTTATGGATGGGTCCGCTGGATTGCTTTCTGTACTTAATAAATATTTACAATTTTATAATTCCTAGTGTACGAATAAATGACAGTACTTGTAATCTTACTCGTGTGCAACTGTGATCACGCAACTACTAATCATGAGACTCAAATCATATCAGGCTATCGAGTTGTCAAAATTTGTTGATGCTTATTTGGCCCGAGCCGAGAACGGTATCGACGTCGAACGAAGGTTCAATACTGATTCATTACCGCCGGGGCCTATCAGTGCTGTTCTCGCTACCTGGGGGGGGACATAGGCTATTGTTAGTGCTTGTGTCCCCGCTCACTCTCGTTCTTTGTCAAAACCGTATGCCCGTAAACAGCGCAACACCTTGTGTGCCCAACCGAACACTGAACTTGACCTAAAGAACGTGTTGGGTCCGCTCTCCTCACTTGGGTTGGCAAACATGCAGCGCTATCGGGATCCCCACGCTTTTGGAGCTTCTACTGCTTGCACCGTATTCGCTTGCTAGCTGAGAGCCAGCCAAGATGTCATGGTAACAAGGGCAACATAATGATTAATTCTCGCGTTGACGAGGGAAACCAATTCCCTTGATGGACTTGTCGTGTATGCAATGGTGAGAAGAGTCAGAATGCAGTCATCGGCTCGGCTGCGCTGGCTGTCAGACCAGGGGGACTTCAGGGTCATCATAATCTCCCGATGAATATACCAATAGGCCTAGGTAGACCTCGCCGTCAGACCATGCCACGCATCCGAGTAGCACATCACGGCTCCGGAGCATCGCAACCTGTACAGTTACAGGTAAATTGTACCATGGGGGGTCGCTCTCTGGAATAAGCGACCCCCGCATTAGCCCTAGCCTCTTCCCGAAATCTCGTTTCACGCAATAGCCTCTCGTGCTTCATCCTATACTGTCGCAAACTTCACTCTATATGTCGCGAGTATCCGTAATTAGTTTTTGCTACCACCTTGTGACACCACCCAAAGCGCCCCTGTCGCCCATTTTGGGACGCTCAATATAACGCCGAGCGACGGTTGTGATTGAACCAGTGGGTGTACCCCTGGCAACGAACCGAATCGTTCTGGTTGAGCAATGGGTCACGGTAGGCCTTCAAGGGGTGGAATTCGGCTCCGGTAACAGGCCCAGGTGAAAGGGTTGTTGTGGATTCGCAGAGGAGGTTTGCACTACATGGAGATACCCATTGCAGCGGGGCCTTTTGTATTGGGCCTGAGAGTATTTAAATCTCGTCCGCGTGGGCATCGGAAGATCTAGGTTTCTTCCTTCCAATTAAATCGCGCCACTACGTCCTCCTGCTCTCTGATAGTTCCTTCTACTTTACGATGTGTATGTGGTGCGTAGCAAGTACGACTGTCCGCTCACCACTACATCTCGACGTACACTGAAAAGTCCATTCCAGCACAAAACTTACAGCGCCCCGAACTGATTTGGTCAGCACACTATCCTCTGCTGGACGAAAGGGATTGTTTTCTGCTGAGGGAAAGGGAGCTTCCAACAATTTCCAACCCCCCATTCACCTACGTACATGCGATGACAGCGCGAAGAAGCGATGGTTCCCGTTGGTCAATGCTCTTGTACGTGCTTTAGCGCTGGTAGCATAACGCTCAAATCCCCCCAACGTTGAGTTTTTTTGTGACCAGTTCTCCCGAGAATGACGCACAGTTGGAATCATTGGTATACGCATATCAAGCCGGTCGCAGGTATGTAGTTTTGGCCTGGCTATTACATCGACTTTCCGTGACGGATTCGCCAGTCCTCTTCGCGATCTCACCGTCCACGTCCACGTGTCCTTATTTGATCCCTATATCCCTCAACCTTCTTCCGCTGAGGACGCATGTTTCACAAGACACACCTCACCTCACTTTGTGAACATGTCGACTTCGGCCGAGAACTTGAGATATATCTACCCGAAAGGTGTCGTTCCATCGAATTACATGACCCGACTCCGAAAACCATCCGACGTTTGGAAGGCTTTGAATCCTCTCCTCTGCCGGCCAGCGGAGATGCCAAAGCTTCTGATCTTGCGTGACTGCAAGGCTGATCCTACTTACGATGGACTTTATCCTCGAAACAAATGTCTTCACGGTGACCCCTTGACCTCAGGCACTTTTGATGTTGGCGCCATAGATTATCGTGGACAGTAAGCGTCTACCGAATCGTCCAATCATTTTTTACCCGCCTCTCAATTGCATCTTTTCTCAGCTTTGATTTCTCTCACGGCGCATGGTTCTTTCGTCACCTCCCGAAAGGTGCTTCGCGCTCACAGAAACGGGAGAAAGCCGAGTGAAGGCTCCTGTGCAGACGTTACAGAAAGTCTGCCAGCCCCCGATTCTCCTGTGCTTCACCCACCGCACTGTACCACTTTACCTCCGCCACCGGCCGGTACCTTACAACTGATATTAGTTTTGTGGATTGATAGATAGGATCCGATGTCCACTTTGTCTCCCTCGTATACCCTTACTTTGCAGTAGTGCCTCTCCATACCTGCGCATCGTATGTAACCTACTATCTGACACGGACTTTGGTTTGGGACTGTTGTACGTCAGATCACTTTACACGGAGATTAATTTCGCCGAATACACACCTCTTTCCATTAGCCGACCCATCTCGGGATAGACGGCCTGGATATCTTACGCTGTCAGAGGGCCTCACGATTGGGCACGAACGTACTGCCAAAGAGAGCGAGAGTAGGACACCAGCAGAAGAGGTCCCGGGTCAGCGTCTATTAGTCGGTATCTAGCCTGGCATAAATATAGATAGGCGGGCCACTTTATATATTCAATGGCTGATGAATGTGCCCGATACTCTTTCCAGCCAGAGCTTAGACACGCCTTTACGGCAACAAAGAACCATTGAATCGCTAGCGCGCAGAAACATACGTACAACAAGCCGTCGTTATTGTAATGATAGGAATTACATATCATCGCGCGATCTTGTCATCAGTAGAACCAGCACAAAGTCGCTGCAATCAGTGGCTGAGGATCTTCCTGGTAGATTTCGGATGTTCTCGATCTCGCTCTGTGGGCTACTGGATAATAGTTGGTCCCATGCTTCGATCTTTTCAATGGCTTGAAGTCGTTGACTGTTAACTTGAGTCTATCCATTGGAGAATGCGTTTCTTTGCAACAGCACTGTCGCTTCGAAACCAGAGTTTCGGCATTTCCGATTGATCAGCCAGTCATTCACACAATCAACTTAGTAATCAAGTACGGGGATAGACAAGTTTTTGCCACCTGATCAACTAGAGCTATCTAGGAAGTTTTTTTTTTCACCCCATCGCGTATGGCATGTCTGTTGGAGCCTGCGGACCAATAGCATAGAGCTTCTACTATTAATTCAGCGTACATAATAGTGTTCGTGTCCAATCAGCATCTCTAATCCTGCCCAGAGGATGCCACGTTCAATTTGGCGTCCATCCATGCGAAGTGGCTCTGTGGCCCCTCCGTCTAGACGTCGACCTGTTATGCCCTTAATTTCTGTCACTCCACATCAATCGCCCCATACTCCGTTCCGCAGGTTTTCCTCACTGTTGAAACGTCTAGATTGCGAATCGTGGGGGGCTTTTTCGCGGACTTCGTGTTCGCCAATTTTGGCACCTGGACTTGAGCACGAGAGTACCAGTGCGAGGAAAATCCTGTGCATGTTGAAGAAGATGAGCAGGTGTCTGACGGCTCTAATTTTCGACTTGACGTGCCATAGGAAGTTGTCGAGGGTCTGGTTGAGGTGCCCGTGAGAGCGTCGGGGACTGCCGTTTCGGGCCTGCACGGGAAGGACGCAGGAGAGGAACTGGGAAACACCGAAGGAGAGAGACGACCATTCTATTTTAAGACACTCGAGGATCCCAAACCCGACATTATAATCCAGAGACTCCCTACTATGCCAGCGTAGAGACGATCCCCTCATGCACACTATAGTGTATTATATTAAACGGGATGGCCGCACTACCACGACATAACGAGGCCGCGGGGTAATAAGAAGGATCCACCACTGTCTAATGTCGGGCGCTGGAGTGTCCGCCGGGGTGGCCTGCGGCGTGCCTCAGGCTGCCTTTTCTCCGTTCGACTTCCTAATTCTCGGGCCTACCGATTAGCGGCTGGCCATCCCTTCATGGACGCAAGGCCCTTCCAATAGGGGCTGGTAACCTACCTACTTCATTGGCTGCGACACTATTAGTATTGCACTAGTAGTGGCTTTGTTCCCTCGCCCTTTCTGTGTGATAACCCGCTCGCTTCCTTCTCTGCGCTCTCCTGGATTACATACTATAGGTACCACAAACGAAAGGGAGGCGAGAGATTTAAAAAAGGAAACCTTAGCTCGCAAACACATATAATCGTAAGGCTAACGTATAGTGTGAAGGATGTTAGGAATAAAGGGTAGGTCTTGTTGGCATAGCATCCAGAGAGGCTCTACTACTAGTGGCATTGCGCCTACAGGAGAAGCTGGAGAAGCTGGCCATTGTGTTTGAAACCGCCACGCCGCCAACGATGCGCTTTCGTACTGTTATATGAAGTCCCTCTACACGCCAGCCCCATCCAAACTCGTTAGCACCCTAATTAGTAAATTGGTGGTTGAGGTATGGCTGGAACTCATGCTCTCAAATTCAGACGCCTTGGCTCCTGATTTGCTCCTCATCCCAACATGAAGGCGGACACAATTGATCGTATTCGTTGTAAGGCAGTATTTGAACGTCTATTTAGGCATAACCCACCAAACCTCGACTCTCCGATTCTCCGCTCCCCGCCTCTTCCAACATTGCTCGGTGTGGCCAGCGGATGCTTCAAGGGAGATACTCGTAATCCTGACAGCTCGTGCCTTGAGAGGGGCCTTCTCCTCCATACCGCTGGTATCCTTCACTGCCGTTTCTCGACGGTCAGGCGCTCACTGTCTGACATCCTTGATGCTCACCTCGGAAGTTGGCCTGGTGTCATTTATTCTGGCAGTCTCGCTTCCCAATTATTCTCTAGTAAGGCTCCAACCCTTTCATCCGTTCCAGTCTATCCAATGGAGGAACTGGTACATCGATCTTCGATGTTGAGCTGCATCATGATCAATAGCGTTTCTGTGTGCGTTTGCTTGCAGGGCGTGGTTTGGGCCTTGGCTCATCGACAAGGACCATCGACTGCTGGCTGCCCCTCACTGGAGTTGTTGTAGTAGATGTTTTGCCTGTCAAGTGGGTATTGAGAGTGAGATCACTAAGAATTTAACACTGCGCAACGCAGGCGATAACAGAATAAAGTAGTGATGGCGCCGGTGCGAGTCGATCTCTCAGTATGCACTTGCCCCAGCGCGATCGATATCTCAATGTCTTTTGTCATAACTGGTCAGGTCTGGGGGAAGCAAAGCGGCAACCTCATGGCCTTGTCATCGTTCCCCGGTGGTCCTGCTCGGCTAACGACATGTGTTGCGACGATACTGAGTGGGAATCATATCATATGTGGTGTTGGGCTATTGAAGTGGAGGATAATAGGCAAATACGGATCGGCATGCGGGACGTATCGTGCTTGCCAATAAAGAAAGCTCAGATTCACGGGAAGTGCATCCTTAGTGACATAGCCGCACAATGCATAGTGAGTACGATTGGGCGCAAGCCTCGCCTGACACTCATCGCTTGCGTCTCAGCTTACTTCATGTGATTGTGCCTCAATCCGTGGTTCACACCTTCCAATTCCAAGCCCTGTCCCCTCTTCTGTTTCTTATCCCTTAATCATTGTCGTTGTCAAGGATCTCGTCCCATGATTATGTTTCTAGCCACGCCACCCCATGGTCTCGTGACGGGTGTCTTTTTTGGCCACTATTTATATACGATACACTTGACGGTCTATGTAGTAAATAATATTCTATAAATTCGACCATTTTCTTGTCCATTTGGGGGAATGGCAACCTACCGTAATCACTAAAACCAAACCGTCCATTCATTGCGGGCTTCCCTGAGAACAAGTTGACGTTTATTTGGCTCGAGCCGAGACAGTCCGACGTCGAAACAACATCGAGCTGTCAGGTATCGATACTCCCGCCTGCTTTTATTGGTGATGATCTGGCCTTCAGGGAAGACACAAGCCACTCTAAGCGTTTATGTTTCTGTGTATTCTCTTTGTTGGCCCGGCTTGTGCGCTCGTAGACAACTAGATTGTCCCCGAGAACAATGCGTCCCTTTCGCTCCTCTGGGCCACCTTGTATAGTCTGCAGCACCATCCAAGGCTTCTGGAACACTAGTGGCTTCCACACTCACTTTATGGAAAGCCAAGGGACGGCCAGAAATGTCATGGCAACAAGGGTGATGCAAATGATGATCAACTCTACCTTCAACAAGTGAGCCAATTCCCTTGTTGGACTGTCATGCATGTGGGGACAGACACGGGACGGTTCTTGTTGCAGGCAGGTTACGGGATCTTCTGCATTAGGCACTATGTTCGGGAAATTGAAGGGTTGTAGCAGTCATTCAACAAATCTGACTGGGTGGTTGGTATCGTGTTGCGCACGCGCCACACACGTCTGCCCCCTAAAGAGAGGCTGGTCACCTGCCTGCCACACACGGGGGCATCGCGACTTGTGAAGCTGTTCGTGTTTTGACCATCCAATGCTCATTGGAACAAGCGACCTCAGATTAAGCTTGCCTGTTCCCGAGCATTCCGTTCACACATCGCCACTTTTGCTCACCCTATATCGTGCAAGGATGTTTAGCTATTTTTGCTTCCACGATACAAGGAAGCGCTCCCCTGGTTACCCACTTTGGGACACTTTGAATGAGGCGGAAGCGATGGTTGTAATGAACTCCAGATGTGTGTCCCTAGCAACGAACCGCCTCACTCTGCTTGAACATGGGTGTCTTTGGGTGTCATCAGGAGAGGGAGTTTTAGCTCTATTAACGAGCGTAGGTAAAAGAGGCGTGTGCTTTCAAGAGTTCAGAACCCTGGTGCCGCATGTGAGATGCGGCGGAGTTGTTTCTCTGTATTGGCCCCGAGAGTATTTAAACTCCGTCGCATGGACATCCGGAAGATTTGGTCACTCCCTTCCCATTGGGTCGCGCTGCTGTGTCTGGTCCTCTGACAGTCCCACACCCCACGATGTGTATGTGGTGTTTAGCAAGTACGACTGTTCGAGTACTGCTGCATCCGGCCCTGCACTGAAAGCCCATTTCAGCACAGAACTTGCAACGGCCTGAACTGGATTGGCCCGCATATTACCCATTACTGGACGAAAGAGATAGTCTTCTGCTGAAGGAAAAGGAGACTCCAGTGGTTGCCAGCCCCCCATTTACCTACATACATGCGATGACAGCGCGAAAGGGTGACGGATCCTGTTGGTCAATGGTTTTGTACGTGCTAGTGCTGCGGCGCACAGTCGAAAAGCCAACATTCAGTCTTTTATGACCAGTTCCCCCGAGAACGACGCACAATTGGAATCACTAGTGTATGCATATCAAGCCGGCCGCTGGTATGTGATTTTGTCGTGCTACTAGATCGGCCTCCTTAACGCCTCACTAGTCCTCTCCGCGATCTCACTGTCCATGTCCACGTGTCCTTGCTTGACCCTTATGCACTTCAACCCTCTTCCCCTAGGGATGCATGCTTTGCAAGACGCATCACTCCTCGCTTCGTTAACATATCAACATCAGCCATGAACTTGAGATATATCTACCCGCAAGGCGTGCTTCCATCAAATTACATGACTCGGCTCAAGAAACCATCCGACGTTTGGAAGGCCTTGAATCCTCTGCTCTGTCGACCAGGAGAAATGCCAAAGCTTTTGATCTTGCGTAACTGCAAGGCTGATCCTACTTACGATGGGCTTTATCCTCGAAACAAATGTCTGCACGATGGACCCCTAACGTCGGGCACTTTTGATATCGGTGCCGTAGATTATCGAGGACAGTAAGCATTCCGTGGCCGACCTTGTTGTCCTGTCTCTCAATTGTCCCCTTCCTAGTTTTGACTTCTCTCATGGCGCATGGTTCTTTCGTCGGTTCCCGAAAGACGCTCGGCGCTCACTGAAATCGGAGGAAGACACATAATAAAAGCTCTAACCTATCGTCATCGACGCTACCAAAGGCCTACTGTTTCTCAGTTTCTCCGTGCATCATATATCGCGTTGCATTGATTTATGCCGCCATCGACAAGCCTCGACTTGGTTAGGCGGTGCCTTGCAACCAATCGGCTTCGTGGTTCAGCATGCAGGATCCGGTTGTCGATTTGTCCTTCTCACATACCCTTAACTTGCAGTAGTGCCTCTGTTGTATGTAGTCCGTTTCTCGACAAGGATTGGGCCTTGGGGTCGTTGCACATCCTACGAAGATCACTCTGAGAATACATTAGCCATAGAAAAGCCAAAAAAAATAAAGAAAGCCAACATTTTTCCTATGACCGTCTTGAGGCATATGCACGAAAGATTACCAACAGGGCGAGATACAGAATGGAACCGGGAAGTTTCGCAGCCAGTAGATAGTCTTTTCACGTATGCATAAACACCGCGCAGAGATACACTCACGTGCATGGTACACTAGTGAATCGCTGGAAGACATAGAGGGGAGACTATCGACATGGAATTTCAGTGATGAGAAGTCCTTACTTTTGATCTCCCCAGAAGTACGACTATCGCAAACGCCAGGGAAAAGAACCGACACATTGATATTGCGCTATATCATTGTAATAGCAGAGACCAAAGCTCCATATTCGCGCGTCGCTTCTGGAAGAGAATGCTGAATGTAGGTTAGATAGGGGCGACGGAAGGCGTGGATTCGTTACGTTTATTTACGGGGACAAAGGTTGTCATCAGACACATCCTTTCCCGCGTTTCCAACGGAACGCAGCCATTTGAAGCCATGGAGGTATTGCACATCGAGCAGAACGTAAGCTGCTGCGGCCATCTGCGAGGGAAAGCATCAAAATAATGACTCGAAATGGGGGGGTTCCAAAGTATTGGATCATATTCCTCTTACTAGGTCAACGGAGCCATGCACAGCAGCATATTCAGTGGCGGCATTCCTAGGAAGATTCGTTAGTGATTTATTAGGGCTCTGAATCTCTGGAGGAGAGAGGAGGCAGCTGGGGGTGGACAAAGCCCACAATGAAGCGCCTCTGTTGTGAGGACCACTGGCCTGAACTCAACGGCTTACCCCTAACTGCACATTTCTGGAGTAATGTGTGCATAAGGTCCCCAGCATTACGAGGTAAAATGCGGTGATGAGGTCCACTGCTGCGATTGTTGTGCTAGATTGCTGTTCCGTATGGTGGGTTTCGCCTCAGAGGAAGCTGCGTGGAAAATATACCACAGTCCCTATAATGCTTCCCCATCAACCAGTTTACGTCAACATAAAATAGCCCATGGACACTGAACCACGTCCTATCGAGGCAGCAGCCATGGGGGTCGCCGTAGGTTGGGGACGACTGGACTTCAAAGATAATGGAAGGCGGAGCTTCCATTTTCAGATACTAAGATGAAATGTCCGGTTGTCCACAAAGCCGCCGTGAATAGCCCCGAAACTATATTCCACCGGTTATCGATATCCCAGCAAATGTACATATGACCCCATGAATTCTACTCGTTCTTGAAACGTCCCAGACATAGTTCCTTCCGCAAATCATTAGCATCAGGTGTGAGCAGCACTCCGCTTCTCCTCTGCTGATGAGCATTCGCTGCGACCATACGGTGACAACCATGTCACTTCTTGGGGGCTACCATGCGTGTGGCCGTAAAACAAGTGCTTAGTAACTCTCAAATTCCCACGGCCACCCGAATGCAATTTGCTCAGTGGACTTCAGGAACCACGATCACCCGTATGCATATGGTAGGCAGGACTCCAGCCTCTATGACAAACAAACAATATATATGCAAAAGGGAGGCCAGAAAGATGGGAGGTGCAGCCTTGTTCGCATACAGTGTATCCCGTTATACTCCGTCATGTGCCAACAGGGACAGTCACGGAGTTTAGAATGATACCCACACACGCATATTGTATTGCGATCCTGCCGACCATGTTGAGAGTGGCATTGCAAGCCGAGCTTCCCGCCAGAGAACTTGAGCTATTGTCCTATAGACTGATTGGCCGAGCTTGCGAGACAAAGGGGTCAGATTTTCTTTTCCGCAGAGAAATCGTCACCCCGTGGGAAATGGCCAACATCGGATCCGGCCATTCGGCAAAAGCAGCCCAGTCGTGGACCCAAAGACTCCGGCCCACCTCGGCTTGGAGGTCTTTGCCTGATGAAGAAAATGTTGTCAGCGCCGAGGCACAAGGAACCCAGAATTGGCAACTTTCTGGCGAACCTGTTGCTTCTTTCGATGACAAAGTGGTCTGTGAAGGCGCCATCGTCGAATTTATCGCATTCTACCGAAGTGGCTGGGGAACGTGCAATTGCCCCGTCTCTTTGACATTCCACTACCTGCAATTAGTTTGATACTGAATTATCACTTCGACTTGTGGGTTTCGACTCCCATCCCCAAAGCCATCCCCATTCGTTCTTCCTTCTAAGGGTCCTGCCGTACCCGGTGGGTTCTATCGATTTATCGCCTGAGTTGATGTGCTGCAAGATGGGAGCAGTTATGTTCCTACAGACGTACAAACGAAGGGACTACCATATGATGGACTGCAAATTCCCAGGCATGCTTGGGAGCAGAACGGACCAACATCTGCGGCGTTGTTCCATCTGATCGGGGAGCATCGTTCCCCTGACCTTCGTTTGCTTGGAACGTGTTCGCCGGGTGCCTCGTAGTTACTAGCGCTGGGTTTTTACGTCAAGACATAATGATGGAATGTGTCGACTAGGGAAAGCCACGGCCCCAAGCAGCTTGGTGATACACGGTGGTGGGCAGAAGCATAGGGAGTTTATTCACAATTTGGCTTTGTTCTACGCCTAATCGAGAGCACGAGCATGCCAGTGCAGCATGATGACGACATCCGAATGCCACAGCGGTGTGAATAACGTTCGGATTGGCCGCAAGTATCCCATCCGAACCGTGAATGCGGTGGGTCAGCCGAGGGCTGCCTGCACTGTATGTGGGTGCCGTCCTGGGTCATGACGGGAGACACTCAGTAGACCCCTGGAAAATGTCTAAGAGCACAACTCCATCGTGAAAGGGAAATTGGCAGTGTGCTTTTTGCGGATCGTTATTACTTGCGAGCTCCGGGAGAATATAGCAGTACTTGCGAAGGACCTCTCTCGGGATCTCGGTTCGCAGTAATCGAGGCAGTAAGCGGTATAGGCGTCCTTGCGTCACCGAGCGCAGCCCAATGACAACCCGGGTAGCGAGATGACAATAAGTGAAAGCCCTGACTTGAGCCGAGAAGAGTGCGGAGAGACATGATATTCGTAGACCCCAGAGACTACCGGCAGGGCAGCGCCAGGGTGTGGCCATTGGGTCATGTCACGTCTGTTGCCGCATGGGAACGTTTGAGCGGGCGATAGTGCGATAATAATGTTCATGACTCCCCAAATACGAAAGAGGTGATAGTGACGACTGAAGCAGTCTTCAATCAAGCGACCGGTCTCCAATTGCACCTAAGGAAGGCACAAGAATGCATCAAAAGCCACCCTGACGTTAGTGCCCCTCGGAAGGAAAAAATGCTGGCCTGTGTGTCCATTGACAGGGACACCTTTGCGAAAATCCGTCAGAATGCTGTACAGAATGTTGCTGCTGGGATGAATTTAGATGCCAAAGAAGGCATCAGGAACTGTGGGTTGGAATTGAGCGACACCGTGCCCTGGATTGAGCCAATGCGCCAGAATCGCTCAAGAGGGCTTAGTTGTCGAACTTTTGCTTATGCCTTATCCAAGGCTGAGGAATGATGTTGCTTCTGCTTAATCCTCACTTGTCCATGAATAACCTCACAACGTAGGGTAATCCCGCCTCCAGTAGACCTCGATCTTTTCAGTTCCTTGGTGGCTTATCTCGGAATATCGGTGGGTTCCACTTGTTCGTACCAAGCGGCCGGGAATATCGGGCTAAGGAGGCCAATATCACGACTCACATCACATCATTATAGGAAGTGGGTGCGTGTTGACGCTGCATTGTGATTAGTTCAAACTGGAGTTGAGATAGCCAGAGCAAGCCTAGGGCTTAGCAATAGTAATGAAGTGACTTCCATGGTGGACATGTCGCGCTGACGGTGGTGCGCGGCTTCGGTTCAAACATACATCGATGTAAATTGTGCGCAATGTAAGCAACCATGAAGCTAATGTGCACTACCCTGGCGTGTCAAGACCTTATGGGCGCTTGGAAGGCCGACATTGTGTGAGCGGACTGTGATAGACGAAATCAAACCTCCCACTTTGCGGCCGGGAAGACGACACCCTGGGCCAGGGGTGCTTCACGAGAATAGTTAACAGTGCAGGCACTCCATCTTACGTACTGCTTCCAAGCATCGCCTCCAGATTCTCGACCCCTGGGCCATCAGTATTTATCAATGTGATCAATGTGTAATTGTAAATCACGACTTACCATCCAGTACTCTTGTTGCCTCCAAAAGCGGCACCAATCTCCGCTCCACTGGTGCCGGCGTTAAACTACGGATGATATTTCTGAGAGGCTAGCTGCGACTTTCTGCACGTAGCAGGGACTCACATTCACTATGCCAGCGTCCGATCCTTCAGGACCAATCCACTTCCCAAGGTTTCTTACATCATTTGACCATAAGCTGCTGGATAACCCTTGTGGAACGCCATTATTGAGTTCAATGGCCTCTTCTAGTTCATCAAACAATGCTACTTTGAGAACGGGAGCAAAGGTCTCTTGGTTCCAAAGGCGGTCGACTTTCCCCCTGTCAGCGGCAGTTCTTGGGCTCGAATTTGGGACTGCTATCGCTGGGAGGACATAATTTCCATGCTCCAACTCTTTCTGCATTGGGACATAGGGGAAGCCACCAGTCAAGATCGAGCCGCCACTTTCGCGGATGTCATTAATCGAATCTTGGTAGACCTTGACCGCCGCAGGGGCATGTAGAGGGCCGAGAAGCGTGTCGGGATGAAGAGGATCACCTATAGGTATGGTCGCGTAGGCTGCCTGAAGGCGTTCGAGGAAGACGGGAGCGATGGATCGGTGGAGATACAGACGACGAGTCGATGTGCAACGCTGTCCTGCAGTTCCAACAGCCGAGAAAAGAACAGAGGGGAATGCCAGAGACATATCCGCGTCAGGCATAACAATGGCAGCTTTGCGATGGAAGAGGATTAGATGAGAATTGACTTGTCAAGAATTATAGACAGACCATTGTTGCCTCCCAGTTCGAGCAAGATTTTCCCAAAGCGATCTTGGAGGTTTTTACCCACAATTCTGCCCACACGCTCGCTTCCAGTGAAAGATACTGCAACACGGCTGTCTGCAGGACGATGCAAAGCGGTGGAGTAT